ACATCTTCATTCTTTTAGACAGCGGGTTCGTAGATTCATATCGTTTAAGGATATTTTCTCTTTCTTTTAATATCGTAGAAAGGGTATTCGGGGGAATTCCATACTTCAACGCTATATCTTTCTTCTTCATGTTTGGATTTCTATCTACATCATTAATAAGATTAATTTTATCTTCCAAGTTGAGAGTTTTTAATTTTCGCTTCGACATCTTTAGAGGTAAACACTTCTTCCACACAATTTCTAACAGCAAATCACAAGCATAAACCTTGTTCAGACCAGAAAAATTTTTATTCTTTCCCCACAGGTGTTATTCCTTTATCTCACACTGAAAACAACTTTATCATTCACAGGTGTTACTAATCCCTTTCTCCCACTCTGACTAAACTTGTTCTGACCAGTTGAGTCTATTGTGTGTGTGTTGCAAAGAAAGGAGCAAGATATCAACTCCTAGGTTTCTTTTTCTTGCTTTAAAAGATCCAGCAATCTTTTTAAAAAAAATCGAGTTAAAGGGAGTAAAATTCGAGTAATCGAGAATAATGAATATGAAATTGAAGATAAAAGGGTCGGGATCTCATAAAAAATTCAAGTTATAGTAATAGAGTTATTGTACTTCGAGTTATAGCGAATTGACTGTATTTTGTAAGCAGAAATAGTACAAAGTTCATTTTACTAAAGCTCATACTATGTTTAATTTATTATTTTTATCTGAATTCATTTTAACAAGCTTTATTTTGTTCAGCTTGATTTATATGGCTCTTTGCAATAAGCCTTCCCTACTCAAGGCTCATAGTGAAGAGCCTGAAATAAATCCAAATTAGCAAACTGAGATATGAATACGAAATTTTCTAATTAACCTTAACGTATTTAGGTTCATTGCGATAATAAAATGTCAGGATCTTTACTATGTACAAATACTGGAAATTTTTTCAATTAACCTTCCACATTGAAGAATGACAGCATTGTCTTGCAAAAGATTTACCAATGACATATAAATATTTTCAAACTTGAAAACTAATTTAAAATATTGATCAAATTATGGAATACTGCATTTAATTTCATATAATATTTTAAGTTTAATATTTTCTAATTCATAAACCATATTACAGACATATAGGGGTTCTCAAAAGTGTTCATACACTCATAACTTCCAATGAAATAGGGCTCTATTCATTAATTAAAATGAATATTTCGGAATGCTTACGTTTCGGAATGGTTAAGATCTTTAATATATTTTTAATAAAACTGCTTGAAATATTTTGAAAACAAAGCAACAATTTATATCAATTCTGAAATATTCATTTTAATTAATGAATAGAGTAAGTAAAAGGTGACTATGGCACATTAAATCTCTCAGGTTACAAAGTCCTCCATGATCCCATAACAAATCATCACCTGTGGGGGTACTGAATTGGAGATTCATCGTTCCCTGGTTCATCAAAATTATGATCTGTGGATCTATGAAAGGATCCGCTCAATAAACGTGTGTGACGTATGGGTGTGGTAGAAGTCGAATTCTTGGCCATAGATGGGCCACTGGAAAACAAGAACAACGCAACCCCTCTTCCTTAATGGCCGACAACAACAACAATGAATAGAGCAATATTTTATTCAAAGTTGTAAGAGCATGAACACTATTGAGAGCCACTTTATATTTAAATTGTTTTTAAACGAGTGATCAAAATTTACACGATGGTATATAGTTTTCTCAAAACATGTTAAAGGTAAAAACTTATAATTTTTTTAATAATGAATAAAAAATGTTGTTGCAATGATTTATCAAATAATTAATCTTGTAAAAGTTAACAAATGGTAAAAAAAATTTTGTTACCTGTAACAGTGATAATTAGTACTATCTAAAGAACTGTGACTTTGAGATGGTATACTTGAATCAGTAGGGCAGCCAGAATCGTAAGAATATGTTGAGAGTGCATGTTCAGACCGTGACGAAAAACCATGCTGAAATTCAATCAAAAAACAATCAAGAGACATGCTCTTAAAATTTGGTACTTATCAGTTAAATGGGTACCAGACCAAAATCACAACATCAAAATGTTCTCAGAAATTTAAAGTACTTAGTATAATTAAAACTAGCCTCCCATTTTTTTTCTACCTGTCTCATTTTATTTAAGTGAAGTTAATAAAATTCAAATAAAGAATTTGCTGATGCATTACTGATATATTGATGACTTATAGCTGGTTGTCTGTTAGCTTTGTCTGGCAAGCAAATCAACAAATAAGTACCCAAACTTATAATTACACTAGAAAATACGAAAATTCATTGAGATGGCTCTGGGCTGCAGTGCCAAGAAGAAAAATTCCTTACTCACATATTTTAAATAATTATAAAAGATCTTTTTACTGTCGATAAATATGATAATATGAACGAAAAGGAAATTATTAGGTCAATATACTAAATACACGAAAACATAAAATTTGTAAAAAGGATAATTTTTATCCTAAAATGGAAGAAAGAGACTTAAAAAAATTCCTCTGATTAGATAAAAAAAATTAATTAAAAACTAAATTAAGATAATTCACAAAATTAAAATTATTATAAAATACTGATGACACCCGGTGGCTGAGTGGTAGTGCTTTGCGCTCCCGTGCCACAGGTCCTGAGTTTGATCCTCGGGATGGGCAAGGTTGACTCAGCCTTTCATCCCATCAGTGGGTCGTTGAATGATTACCAAGCATGCTTGGGAACTAAACACTGGGGGTTTTGCGTTCAGCTGACCACCTAACCGGAACATCTGCTCCTGCACCCCAGAGCCCAAGGTCAAGAAAACAGAGATGCGCACAGTAGGCCTTGGCCCTCTATGGGCTATCGCGTCACTGAGTTTAGTTTAGTATAAAATACTGATTAATATATTAAAGTGATTCTATTTTTATTTTAGTTAAATGGTTATAAGAACATTTTATTAGGTGAAAGACTACAACTCAAGTAGTGAAATATCTTTCAAATAAATAAACTGTAAAAAATAAAAAAAAATATTATGAAAATTGAACAAAAGTATAAGAACATTAATTTGTTTTAATAAACACTTAACTTTAAAAAAAATATCATACCATCTTTTTAATTTTCTTTTTAAAATTGCACAGCATATGAATATTTTTTGTATCATATTCATACAATAGATTTAGGTCTATAGCTTAATAAGTTCACTTTCAACCTGATGTGCTAAAGGAAATATCAGAAGTTACTTTAAAGTTAACCTGATAACTTAACACTGACAGTGGAAATCAAATCTAAACAACATTAGTGATAGGGTAGTTACAAAAAATTAGTTTAGTAACAAAAAAATTAGTAATAGGGGTCTTTATGAAATCCTCTTATTAAAGATAATATGAAAAAGAAATGTTTGTAATTGGGATTAAATGTATATTTTTATAGCACAAGTATCAGAAACAAATATAGAGCAACGAATTCAGAATAACGAAAAGAAAAAAAAAGTGCAAGATGCAAGAGATGAGAAATTTGAAACTTATTTTAAAAATATAAGTTAGTATACAAGGAAAAAGAAAACCTACAGTTGAAAAAGCCTTTCTTTTTCACCTGATGCATGACAATTGCTATTTATACATTTATGTTAATGTTACAAAGATATTTATGAAAATCTTTGAGGAAAATCTAAGATACATAATCAAAGTTTTTTGAAAAAACAGACCTAGGAATTTTGTATAATTAGTAATATCTTCTAAAAGTTATAAACTATCAATTACTTACATAAATAATTTGAATAAAATTCAGAAAAAATTTATAACTGTAAATTGTAACTAACTTAATTTTGGAATTTATTTAATTAAGATCAATATTAATTTTTGGTACATTGAATGGAAAAATTCCAAAATAAAAATATATGACAAAGACTTCAATTCAAAAGTAAGACAAATTATTTGTTATTACTCTTATTTTTTCTTTTCCTGGGCTTGGCATACATGCAGTTTGAGTAGAGGCAGATTTCTGGAACATAGGCTTTTGTATATTTTTGGCCTAGAATGAAAAATAAAATTAGTCTAGAATAATAAAAAAAGAATAAAATAAAAATTAGACAATGCAAAGTGAAACTAAAAATTTGCAAAGATTTTAATATTTATTTTGAAGGAAAAAAAATAGGAATACAACAGTAACTTGATAATTTCAACAAAAATACAGTTTAAATTTACTAAAAGTGTACATTGTGAAAAGGAAAAATAAATAAATAAAGAAGATTAGAATTTTTTGCAATAGATTACAGTTCCCAATTTTCTCCCATAAAAAATGTATCTAATGTGATAGTTTTGGCTACATGCATTTATATCTTACAAAATGTGATGATTTTTATACATTATTCACTTTCAATGGTGTAAAAAAATTACCAATGAACTCTTTGCTTTATTTTTTATAAAAAAGCAAATGAATTTTTAAAGTATTGAAGACAAAAATAAATAAAATATTAAAAGAAAAATATTCAGTAAGAAATTTTTACTTATGAAACATTAAAATAAATCTTCTGTAAACTTACACTTATTTTAGCAGAGGTCTGAGTTGAGGTTGACTCTTTTCTAATTTCTCCATTTTCAGGATCATGTATACTTTGTTTTAATGCCTTTAAAAAAAGGACAATCACAAATTCAAAACAAATTATTTACAATCAATAATTATTACATATAATAATTATAATACTAAGAACAGAATAGGAATACATTGAAGAGATTACAAAGTGAATTACACAGTGAAATCATTTGAACTTTGAACACTTGAGTATGGTTTATATTAGAACATAAAAGGATTAGCTTGTAAAATAAACTATACTTGATAATAAGATTGGATGTTTACACTGACAAATGTTGCAGTTTTACAAAAATTTAAAGTTCATTAAAAATTAAAAATTTAAACCTTCAAAACCATTGAAGTAGATGAAAGTGATTATTTTACTAAAAAAAGAATTCCATTTAAAACTCATGATTGTTTTTAATACAATATGAATGAATAAGTAATCATGGTAATAAAAATTCCCACTTTCTTGCCTTTGTAGAATAAAAGAAGATCATTTTTATCCTATCAAAGCAAATTCAGCATGTTTTGAGAGGGAAAAAATGCCTGTTTTGAAGCATATTGGGCCTCATCTACTTGCTAAATTGTAAGCATAGCTAAGGTTAACTAGTAATTTTGTGAAAAAACGTCTGTCTTGAAAGGTTTGTCTTGTTGTTTGCTACTATAAGATAACCTGGTAAATTGTTAGAATAGCTAACATTAAATGGAACGACTTGGTATAAAAATAATTCCTTTAGAAAAAAGTGAAGCAGCTAGGGTGGGTAGGAACAATTGGAATGATTATCACATTACTGCATGCCGATATTACTGTTATCAACTGGTATTACAAGTCATAAAACATCAAGACAGTTTTGAAACATGAATTACTCAAAAACTTAATGCACACTTCACCCCTCCCCCCAAAAAAGAGAATTTAAAAAGACTATTAAAAGCTTATTTCTATTTTAAATAAAATGAGACAAATACAAGCATAATGTAAAATTAAAAAAAATTTAAATAATAATACCTGCAGTTTCGAAAGAGATAGTACATCACTATTTTGAGGTTTTTGCCAGACAGTTTTCTGGTTAGCAGCGTTATAGTAATAAAAGCGAGATGATTTGGGGTCAAATATTTCCCACCATAGATTGTCATCAGACTTTTTTCTGCAATAGACAGAACGGAAATAAATTAATTTTAAATTAATCACTAATAATAAAAACAAAGATTAACTCTACCTANAATAAAAGCGAGATGATTTGGGGTCAAATATTTCCCACCATAGATTGTCATCAGACTTTTTTCTGCAATAGACAGAACGGAAATAAATTAATTTTAAATCAATCACTAAAAATAAAAACAAAGATTAACTCTACCTAAGACATATAAAGGGAAAAAAATCAATTTACAATTATTCATTTACAATATAATTGCACTAAATCCAGCTTCATTTAGTCTTAAATAGAAAATTTATAAAGTTTCTAAAAATTGCACATAAAAAAATTTTAAATAAAAAACCTAAATTTTCATAATATGGAAATAAAACTATAATTTAGACCAAAATCGAAGCAAAATTGCGAAATTAATTATTGAGAAATAAATTCAGACCGAAGAACTCAAAAAATATAAAGCAATTATTAAAATGACATAAAGCAATACTCTTTTGTATACTATCTTAAATTATAATATTAAATTAGACAGAAAACATAAAATTATTAATATATTTATTTAAAAAAAAAAAATTTTTAAAAAATAAAAAAAACGGAGAAGTATAAAGAAATACAAATATATAGAAAATACAAATGAACATAGAGGTAATTCAATAAATAAAATGATAACATAAATTTTAAATAAATCACTAATATGAATTTTAAATAAATAAGTGACAAAAAATTTAAGTATTGTACTAAAAGCTTGTTTAAATAATACAAAACTTGAAATAGACATTAGTTTTCCTTTTTTTCATAACATTTATTACAAAAGTTTAAAACATATCTTTGTAATCTTTGTGTAGTGTAAAAAAGAAATTATTACTTACATTAAAGCCCCAGGAGGTGGACACCAAACACATTCTCCAGTGAACATGTTCACAAATATTTCTTCTTTTGTACATGGTTCTAATATTGTAAACCATTCAATTCTAAAAATATAAAAGAAAAAAATATTACAGTTAGGATAGAGCCAAAATGAATTTCTAGTTTTGGAGAATGCAAAATTTTGAACATCAAAATTATCAGCATTAAATTTAAAATTATTTAAGTACTGAATTATTACTAAATTCATAAGTAAATTCGCTCTTAAATTATTAAATATTGAATACATAGATTGTATATAATTTTGCAAAAAAACATTTTCTAACAGATTTTTCATAAATAAATGTAAAATTAAAAAAAAAGCTATTTTTAAAAAAAATAAAATATTACAATTTGAATAATGATAATCTCTCAAAACATTTAAATCTAAAATTAGTAATTATAATGAAATGCATTATCCAATCAACAGCAAATATGTGAATAACTCGACAATATGCTGTGCATAAAGCATATGCGAACGCATTAATCTGTGAAGTGACACACGCAGGAAACTCTTATTTTCCCTGAGTCTTAATTTTACTCTTCATTGTTTTTAAAAGTAAACACAATAATAAAAAAAATATGGTTAAAACAGAAATGAAGAGAAACTTTAACACATAGTATGAAATCAGGTGAATGTTATCGCTCATTAAATAGTAAACTAACTACTTTCAAGCATATAAAACTAGTATTCATTATGCTATAATTGTACACATTCTCTCTTTATTACATAGGTAAGTGTATAGATTTGTTACATGTCTGTGTCACCTTTTATTTTCAAATTAGGTGCAGCAAATGGATGCAATAAAGTATAGATAAATTTGCATTACTCTAATCAAAATTATATTAACTACCTAGATTGGATAACCTGAATTATTTTTCATTATTTATCAACTACATTATCGTTCTCATTTTTGTGTGAATGTGTTCACTCTACAACAGTATTGGTTTTTAAGCAATAATTTTGATATTTCTTCACTTAAAATTATTCGAAAATATCAACCAATTATTAATTTTGCTTTCTCGAAGTTTTTGACTTAATGAAATATTGTATTATTCTAGTTGATGCTATTTCACTTTCCCTACTTTTATCTAATTTCTTGTTTCTTATTTTGTTTAAATAATTATCATTTCCTTAGGGAATGAATTTTTTCATAGCTCTTAAACATAATAAAACAATGGCTAGTATTTATATTATATTATTACAGTTACTTGGAATTGACATAGTATTTTTAATGCCATACATTGATGTAATTTCATTAATAATATAAGAAAGTGAGAAAAGTTATAATCACGTAAGGACAGATTCTAAAAATAAAACAAATAAAAAACCCTGTTAATTTCAAGAGGAATTATATAGTTTAGAGAAAACAATTTAGAATTAATCAGCGAAAATAAGTATATCGTAGATCATTTTAAACCGGTAGAAAAACTTAAGAGTAATGAAAAATTCAGAACAGTAATACTTTTTGGAATCCATCATCCACACAAATATCACTTCATTAAAAGTATGGATTCATTAACATCAAATTATAAATTAAAATAAGTTCATTTCATAAACTGCAAAACAGAGAAACTGAAAGTACGTATTCATATTTATTAATTTAACAGTTGCCACCTCTGATCTATTTAAAAAAATAATAACAATGAAAATCCCTTATTTCGATCGAGTTGATTAAAAGAAAAAATATACGCATCAAATTCATTTATGAAAATTAATAAATATTAAGGAATAGAAATTAGTAAAAGAAATACATTTTGTGACAAATGGCTGCCAAAATTTAGGAGTTTGTTTGAGAAATGCCTGCCACAGTAAACGAACGCTTGCATTTAGAGGTTAAAAGCGAATTTCGTAACCCAAAGCTTCTCTCAACCAATCACATCTAGTTTATTCTTTGCTATCCCGTAGTGCGCTAAAGTGAAATTCGTTTTGTCAAATTGTGACATTTTGTAAGTAGAACGTGCATTTTTTTTTCCTCTTCGTCTTTTAAATAGAAATTATACTTTGTTTCAAGAAGATCACTGCATTTGTTTATATCTCTGGAGTGACAGGTAAAGTTGTTTAATTTTATTTATGGTTTTTGCCCTTCATACAATTTATTCATTGGTTTCTTTATAAAATCGCAAAATATAAATTCTGTTTAAAATTTAAACATTTTCACGAATTCTATGTTCTATGTATTTTTATTTTGTAATTACAAGAATAAATTACTTAAAATTTATTGAAGATTATTAGGCTGGAATGTTTAAATGAATTATCAACTTTTAAGTCAATGCGATATTTTAATGAACATACACGTGCTTTTATTTTTACTAAAATGTGACTTCTAGACTTTCTACCCTGCTTTTGGATAAAGCATAGATTGTTTGGTTAAAAATATCAGAAACTAAAGAAAATATAGAATAATTTAATTAGGTATGATACCTACTCAGGGTTGGCAAGGTTTAGGACAGGATGGAGTAATCCACGGTTTAAACCGTTTCTGTCTTAAACTGTCCAAAACCCTTTTATTCAAATTATGTCCCAATTTTATCTGAACAATAACATATTGATAATTAAATATACTAGAGAATGTTTGTTTTTAGAAGTATAATGTTCTATTAATCTTGTTTGACTCTTCTATTTAAACATTAAACAAAAGAAGATTAATCGAGTTCAATTGGTTCTCTTAGCATTGGATAGTACATAACTGAAGATTGACCTTGCCATACAGGTTAAGCTATTAAGGACTAAGTGCTTGGTTAGTCATAAACAGGTTTATTTATCTATACTACTATTCAAGAATACTTTTATTTCATCCATGTTCAATTCTTTTAGTATAGTGGTGATACATCATCAGTGTCAGTAACTGAAACTGATGTTATGCCCTTCAAAACTGTTAATACATTTTTCAGTTATTTTGTATTTCCAATTTTAATTAATATATTTATATTTAAAAACAATTTTTATTAAATAGATATCTTTTTTATCATCCTGTGATGATGCAGAAATTATAAAATTTTTTAAGAAAAATATTGTGAAAAATAAAAGAATTATTATAAAAGAAATATTGTGAAAAATGAATTTTATACTTTTTTAACAAATTTATTATTTTTAATATTGCATTATTTATCTTTATGCATAAACATAATTTATCAGTATTAAAAGCATATTTATATTTAAAGGATAAGATATTCACTTTTGTTGTTCAATGAATTGTGGAGCTTCAAAAATTATAAACTTTTTCTTATTATATTATTTTCCTTTACTAGGGTAAAGTAAATTGTATAAAAAATATCAAATATTTATTGATATATGTAATTATTATGTGTATAATGGTTACACATATAGAATTTTTACCTTTTACCAAAGTTCAAGGTTTTGGACGCTTTAAGACAGTAAAACCCCTGTGTCCTGTTCAAAACCCCAACCCTGATTAAAGGATAAAAAAATATAATAATAATTATTTGATATTTTAATTGACAAAACAAAAAATAATTTGTATTCCATAATATCTTTAATAATCTGAATATTGTGATTCTTATACATACGATTTTAAAATCGCATAACGCAATTCTCGAAGTAAGTTTTTCTTGAATTAGTTCATGTAAGGGTGTGATATTCTTTAGTAAGTAATTTAACTAAAAATGTGAGTTCAAAATTTTTTTATATTTCATAAATTATCATTATTTATTGATTTTATGATTAAGTATAGGTAATTAAAAAATATACAGTACAGAACCCGCTATCCGGAAAACCAAAACACCGGAACGAAATTCGATAAATTTTCCTGCCATTTAAAAAAAGAAAATATTTTTTTTTCCTCATAAGATTTTTCTTTCTTTTTTGAAAGATGTTTACCATACCATCATTTTAGAAATAATCATTACTGTATTACTTCATCGTTTTTTCTTCTTTTTAAGATTATTTCCAAATAAAAATTTTTTTTTGTTCGGTTTAACAATAAAAAAAACGGCTTTATGTAGCTATTCAGAAACGGAATAGCGATGGTCCCGATCGTTCCGGATAATCGGTTCCCTACTGTATATAAGAATGAAAATTTAGAAATACCTTTTGCATGTTATGTTAAAGTTTTTCTGAGTATTCATACTTTAACAGTATCTAATTATGATAGTATTAGTATGATATTATGTAATTTGTAGTTGTTATTTTTAATTTTTTCTTACTTGCAAGTATGTTAAAAAGCTCATATATTAGTCAAAAGAAACTTGCCACTCTTAATATAAACATGTGTTTATGTAAGTGAATGTAAGTAGGTCTAGAATGTAGTATGTAAGTAGGTCTAAAATATGAAAAAGTTGATAAAAGATTTTAAGGAAGAAAAAAAAAGCCGATATTCTCTAAATCTAAATAAAAACCAGAGAGTATCTATACTGTTACAGGAAACAGTGTCTTTTTTGTAAACACATGCAGTTTAAATTTTTTTTTTTTCCAAATTTTTTAATAAAATATTGAGCGAATTTGTATTTACATAGTTTGAAATCAGGTGATTATCCACACTTCTCGTTTAACGTTTAGTCATGTGAAGTCTTGAAAAATCAGTGAAAAATTATTGGCAAGACTATATAACACCACTCTATGTTATAAAAGAATATTTTTAAATTAAAAAAATAGAAGTTTAACAAAATACACTTAAGTAATAAAAAACCAATAAAATTTTTTTGACAATTTTGTAGACATAATGCCAACTTGAATGTCATTATAGTTAATAGTTTAAAGACTAACAATTTTCAGAAATTAGTATACCGTACTATCTTATAACGAGTGCAAAAGGACAGCAATATTTATTAGTTACAGCTGAGTGATTGTTAAAAAAATTGTTCTAAGTTCTTAGATACTTATTAATTTATAGAGTGCTTAGATAGTTTCTATTTAACTGTTCTAAAAAAAAATTTATTATTATTGTTCTTTGGGTAAGAGGTAAGATTCATGATCCAAAAGACGTTGTCAACATCAAAAAGGAATTTATTTTTTCAAGTACTTCCGATTTCTTTGTTAAATCATGGCTATTATAAGCAAATTCAAATCTTTGCAAGTAAAGTTTTTTTTTTTTTTTTTTTTGCGATTTCTATTTTGCATATGAAGTGAACTAGAATAATAAAATGTAAGGTTCAATGTTGAAGTTTTTAATTAAGTTTATTTTTAATTATGGCTTCTTACTATAAGTATTCTGAAAAAAAATTTTTTGCTCTTTTTCTTTCAGGTAGAATATAGAGACAACCATGCCATCTGTCCAAAGAGGAGCCCGTAGGCCTGACCAGCAGTTGTACATTCCAGGTAGAGGTTTGCTAAGTAAAGGTTCAAAGTCTGAAGAAGTTGTTCCAGTTGCTGAAAAGAAATCTAATTTACAAAGTGTCAGTAGTAAGCAAGTCAATTCTGCCTGTTGTGAAGGTTTCACTGGTGCAAGTAATTTAAAAAGGCCTTTAAAAACTAGAAGACCAGATATTCAAGTTTATGTTCCTAAAGCTAAACTGTTGGCTTCACGAGTAAATGAATTTTCACATTCCTCATTGAATATCTTATCTCAGGGAGAAAAAGAAAGTCAAGAGGTGAAGGCATCGAGTTCTTGCTGTAATAGTCAAAATTCACCTGATGTAAAAATCATAAAACAGCACTTAAAAATAGAAGATAATTCTGCTGATAGTGACAAGCAGTATGTAGACTTTCCTACTCAGAAATCAACATCGTGGGCAGACCACGTCGAAGAATATTTATCTAATTCAATTCAATTGAATGAAGAGTTGGTAGACGATTCACTTGATGCAGACAGATCTAAAGAAAGTAATTTGGTGAGCAATGTTGATTGTTTGGAAAGTGTTTATTCGTCTGGATATAGTTCATCAAGCAATGAAGATTTAAAGTTTATGGAACCTAAAACAAGCGATTTTAATGAAGTTGATTCTCCTCACAGTATTCTAAGACAGAACCAGGAGAACTCTGAATTTAACTCTTTGGTTCAAGGTAAACATGATATTGAAGAGATGGTAAAATCTGAAGGTGGTGTTTGTGATGAGCAGATAGCTTTTTTGGAAAAGTTGCTGGCTGGTGATAAACCAATTAAAATTAAGAAAAGCCTTCTAGCTCAAATACTGCCTTGTGAAGCACCTCTCTTTCCTGTGAGAGTGGAGGATGAAGAAAAGATTAGAAGGAGAGAAGAGATTCTTGATCGCCAAATAGCTTTCTTTGACAAGTTGGCAGCTAAGGCTAAATCGGCTGAGCCTAAGGAAAGAGTTTCTGTTCCAGTAGTGCCTCGTGAAGCACCACTTTTCCCTGGGAGAGAGAATGGGGATTTTCCTCAGATACTTGAAAAACGTGAGCATATTGTTGAACAGCAGATAGACACATTTGACAAAATGCTTGTTAAACCTGGAAGTGAAAGGAGTCAGAAGACTAATGTATTTCAAAGGCTAGAAATACCTAACAGTTTTGCTAATCCTAAAATGAACACGGTTCCGTATCAAGAGCTACCCCTCAATGTACCGTATACTGAATTGGATCACATCTTTTGTGCACCTGAAGATTTGAATTCACATTATTCTCCAGCTACTTTGGACAATGATTTATACACTGAAGTATCTCTACCCTTTAATGCGCAATGTACTAAATTCGAACACACCTTTTGTGCACTTGAAAATTTGAATTCATATCATTCTCCAGTTACTTTCAATGCTGATTTATACACTGAAGTATCTCTACCATTCAGTGTGTCATCTTCTGAATTAGATCACTCTTTTTGTGCACCCGGATGTTCATATTCACCGGAATCTCTAGTTTCTTTGGATGCTGATTTGTACATTCCACCACCTCTACCTCTTAATAGGCCACGTTCTAAAGTAGACCATAACTTTCCTGCACCTGAATATCTGAAGTCTTATTCGCTTCCTTTGGATGATTTTTATGCGCCGGCACCTCGGCCTCTGACTTAGAAAGTAAAAGGTAATATTTACCTTAATTTTTTTTTTACATAAAAATAATACATTTATCCTATTTGTTGCATTTTGGGTGGTATGTCCTTTTTATGATTTATTTTAAATGCTATGGCATGTAAGAACACTTACTGTAGAGGTTTGCATTTTGTGAATGTTTTTACAAACTTTATATTTAAGTAAAGACAAGTTTTACAAATTGAAACTTAATGATTGACCTGGTTTACAATGGTATCGACCCCCGCTGAGCCAAATAGAAAAGTGTTCTGTAAATACAAAATAATAAATCCAGATAAAACAATATACATCAAGATTTAGAGGATTTTAATAAATACTGGATCTTTTATTTTCATTCATAAATTAAAAAAAATTTACACATGTTTCTCAGTAATTTTTTTTTTGCACGAAGACTATTCTTAGAGTATGGTCTTTTTTTCTCTATAATATTATATCACTTTAAAGGTTGAATAGGCATTAGCAACTCAGTTTTTCTATGCTAGTGACATTCTAGTTGCCATACAAGTCCTTGAGAAAGCTTTGGACCTCATCTGCTATATCATATCAAGTTAAAATTTCACTCTCCTGCATCGGTTTTTATGGGTTATAATTACACAACCGCTTCACGGACATCTAGTTTCTGCTACTTGCTACACTGGTTACAGAATGTTAGGCTTTAAACTGATATGGAAGATTAGGTTCAACGTAAAACATTACAAAGACCTGGTGTTGTCAGTTTTTCTACCTTTACAGGATGGGTGATTAACAAAATCTTGTATTTTTTATAAACAATTATGCCTTTTTTTTTTTATAAAAGAAAAATATACCTTATTTTTGGGATTGCCCTCATAGAATTCCTAGCACAGTTAAACATTTATGAACCAGATGTTTTAATCCAATTTTTTAAGGTTTCAGAAATAAGTTTGTTGTCCTGGTCAGAATCTAAGATTATGTGTCACTATTCCTTGAATTTAAATTTTATCATAGTTTCCTTTTGATTTAATGTCCTTATTAAACATTAAAAAGTTAGAAGAATATTAACATAAAGGTGTAGTTGTTAAAATACCTTTAAATATATTTGGCGCATTGCTGAAAAATAGTAGCAGACTAAGTTATTGGTTTGTTCAGTATTTGTCTAAAATCAGTAGGTACATCCCTAATTATTAAATTTTTTGGGATTCATTCTATCTTTATTTTTGTCAAAGAAGCAGTTTTTTTTTCATGTGCTTAAAAGTTTGATATTTTTATCAGAAAAACTGGTAGCAGTTCGTAATTTTTTACCACTCAATTTCCGTACAATAGTTTTGGTTGATGATTAATAAGGTTTACACTAAATTTAAAAATAGATATGTATGACAATGTTATAATGTACTAGTTTTCAATAATATTTTTAAGCAAGACGCTTAACATTTATTAGAAAAAAATGACATTAGAGATCTTAATGTTTGCTGCTTATGGCTAATTAAATTGAAGTGAGAAATAAATTTTTTGTGTGTGTGTGTGTATGTGGCAGATCTGTTTAAATAAATTTTGTGGTTGTTGCTATTTTACTTTCATTTATCAGGAAAATTAATTTAAATTTTTTATCCTTAGGAAAGTTTATTAGGGAGGGTCATTTGAATAAAGGCGATGATAAGCACCCCTCAAGAAAAGTCTCAAAGCGCTTCAGTAAGAAGGAGCTCCAAGTACAGTTATGAAGCTGTTATCAGATGGTGTTATTATTCTACATATAACAGCTGTGGCTTTAAGATTTGTATCAATAACTGAATGCCCAACATTAGCAATAAGTGATTTGTTATAAATTTAATGTTTGTATTCGCAGCATAACTTGCAATTCTACTTTGTATTAAAATATTGTAAATCTTTGTATATTGAAACAATAAAAGACTTGAGAGTATTTTGTGTACCAGTATTTTTAATCTGGCGAGCATTTTTAAATCTACAAATGTTAATTGTTTTGTTATATAGAAATGTATAGCAGTCATATTTGAGACTATCAGAAAGTAATACTGAATATATTCTTAAATATGTTCATTTAAAGTTTATGGCAGATAAACATAACTTTGGGCCAAGGTGATATGTGGCTTTTGGGCATTATAGCCTTCTGCTCTTCAACCTCAAAGTAAATAAGAATAAACTTCATGGTCAGCTATGGTAATTTTATATTCTGTAATTCAAGCTGATTTCAATTAACTTTTAAAAAACATCTAGATCTTACAATTTTTTTTATTTAAAAAGAACTATTCTTTATCAAGGGTATATTCAAAAGTTTCATTACAAGGATTTGTGTTTCAAAGTCTTATTTAAAAGTTTACAGATATATAAGCAAAAATTTAATATTTATAAAAAAACATTACAAATTTATTTTACACATAGAAAGCTGAAGTCTCTCAATTATTATGTGTGTTTTATTCTTCAATAGTTACACTTAAAATTTGTAATCAACGAGATGTCAAGTTGGCTCGAAGATTTTTAATCTGAGCGCAAGCTTTATGGAATTTTTTGAGCCATAAATTGCCAAAGATACAAGCGTAGTATGTAACGTTCCGGATTTTCTGGTAAAAAAGATATTTTCCCTGATTTTTGTGAGCGTTGAACATATAATTTTCTACATGCACATATACTGAATATCCAAAGATTCAGATTTTCCAAGCTGGAGATTTTTGCGCTAATTTACAGGATTCTACGAAACTTGAGGCTGTCAATTCACAGAATCCTGCAAATCTTTCACCAAGTTTGTTTTGAAGCTTTCATACAATTCCATTAATGTTATTCTTCTTTTTTTGCTTTAATTTTAATACCCTTATTATTATGCCAGAGTTCTTGTTCATATGGTTCTGAAGTTTTTTTATGCAGGTTTGTAAAAGTGATGTAACTAATTTTTGACAACATGAGACTAGAAGAAAAATTTGCAAATGTCAGGATTCAATCAGAATTGCAGTGACAAAAAGAAATGTGTAAAATTGATTAAGTAAAAAGTTATAGCAAGAAATGATCAACATCAAACAGTACGAGTCCATCTACAAATGAAGATTTTGTTGTAGATTCCCATTTGAAATTATTAAATCAATATATGTTCTTTTTTGGCTGAATAAATCAAATCAAGTGATTAATAATAATATTTTTAATATAATATTACATGATGATAAATTCATATTTTTTATTTTATTTTGGTTAAACTTTTCGTCCAAAAAGATTCTTAACACTCACAATATTGAAATTTAATATTGCATTTTTATCAAAAGTTGAACAATATATTAAATATTTTTAAAAAAAGGCATTAAAGTAAAACAAGATGAAAAATTACAGATATGTAACATTCAAATGTATGATATTTTGTGCAAACCATCCCTTTTGTCTCAATAAATAGGTTCATTTACGAAAAGTCTATTTTCAAGTAGTGTCAGCCAGCAAGAAAAAAAATTTCTGATATTTCTTATTTTTTTGTGATAAGATACAGGAGGAAAAAGAAGAAAAACATGGCAGTCATGCTTAATATTAAAAGAAATATAAAATTACATGTTTTTATTAAAGTGAGAAAGTGTGGGAATAATTTTTATTATAAACATGTTTAAAATAATGATGTTTATAAATATATTTAAGTTTATGTCAGTGTTTAATTACTTTAAAATTTAAATACCAAATAAAATAACTTGAATTTAAAAACATTAGAACCAATCTCTCACATAAGTAACATTTTTTCATAATGAGGGAATGATAGTAAAAAGCATATTTTTTTGCTTTTTTAAATTTATACCCGTAAATAAAATTAAAAAATATATTGTTGTATATTATGTTATATATTCTTATATTATGTTACATATTCTTAAATTATCTTATAAGAGAAAATTAGAACACTTATAGCATTTTTAGAAAATAAATTCACTTCATAAATTACAAAAATACCATTCTTTCACAATGAGGGAATAAGAAAATAAGCATTATTTGCTTCTAAGGATAATTCCCTCAAATAAAAGTAAAGTAACTATAGATGTTTTTTAACTACCCTGTCAGTAAAAATCACTTATCAATACATTTTTAGAAAAAACTTTACTTCATAAATTTAAATGAGGGAATGAGAATGTCAGCTTAAAATTTATCCAAATTGCTAATTCATCTCTCTTGTTATACACTGAAGAACTTCTCAATCAACTGAAATTCATTTTATAGTTTTTTCAGAACATATTTTTAGAACTTGTGCACTATTTTTATCCAAATATTAATGTAACTTATTTGAATAGCTATAAGTAAAAGAATGATAGCATTTATGAGTTAAAAATTTTTTTGCTAAATAAAAAAAGTCATTTAAAGACCAAAAATTTAATTTAATGCACATAAGCAATCTTACAAGTGTTAATTTTAAAAGTTAAACAAGAAAAGTATAGGTATTTCAATGTGAAATAATGTTTTTAGTTTTTATAGGTAGTAAGAGTTTTGAATGACGAAATGAGATTTTATAGATTTGAAAATTGAACAAAAATATTAATTAAAAAAAAAAAAGACTTCCAAACTTATGATATAACATAATAAAGACATCTTCAAACTATACATTGAACTTATTCTTTTTTCTATAGAAAAACTTAAATAAATATTCTTTTACATCATTTTAACCTATTTGCTGAGAATTTTAGTGATAGGTCACTGGTCCAAGAGACAATTATTTCATGGTGGTTCATGTCAAATTTATTTATCTCAGACCGACGGACCACCATTAATTTCAAGTCTTACTTCATTTAAACTGTATTTATGTGTGTAAGATTTATTCACTTTTTGATGCCTCTCTCCAGAATGTAGACTAAAATGTTTATTAAAAGAATATTTACTGGTGAAAGATTTATTGCACAAACTGCATGAATAAGGTTTTTCTCCAATATGAATAAGAAAGTGTTCATTTAAACTGATTTTCCATTTAAATGTTTTATCACATACACTGCATGAATAACGTTTTTCTCCACTATGAACAAGAGAATGACTATTTAACCCAGATTTAAATGAGAATGTTTTACCACACACATTGCACGAATATGGCTTTTCTCCAGTATGAACAATACAATGTTTATCTAAACTACCTTTAAGAGAGAATGTTTTATCACACACACTGCATGAATAAGGTTTCTCTCCAGTATGAACAATGTAATGTTTATTTAAATTGCCTTTACGAGAGAATGTTTTATCACACACACTACATAAATACGACTTTTCCTTTTTTTCCCTAGAAATCGAATGAACAAGATAATGTTCTCTTAAATGAGCTTTCTGTGAGAATGTTTTATCACATACACTGCATGAATAAGGCTTCTTTCCAGTATGAATAATATAATGTCTATTTAAAACTCCTTTACGAGAGAAAGGTTTATTACACACATGACATGAATATGGCTTTTCCCTAGAATGAATAAAATAATGTTCTGATAAATGAGTTTTCTGTGAGAATGTTTTATCACATATATTGCATGAATAAGGTTTTTCTCCAGTATGGACAAGAGAGTGTTTAATTAAATTTCCTTTTTCTCTAAATATTTTATTGCATACAGTGCATGAATGAGTCTTCTCAGTATGAAAAACATTGTTCTTTAATTTACACTTTTTTGTATCCATTATGCATAAATAAAGCTTTTTACCGTTAGGAATAGTGATTACCTTTCTAAGTGAACAGACTGCATAAATAAGCCTGTTCTCCAGAATGTAAAAGATTAAAGTTTCTTAAAATTGCTTTTCTCAGTCAATGATTTTTCACATACGCTTTATAAATAAGGCCTCTCAACTGTAAGACAAGTAGAGATTTTAAATTAGATCTAATTGTGAAAGATATATACACATTTGTTTCCTTTATTATTGAAGGAAGCTTTATTCAGAGTCCTTACACTGGATAATATAGTAGACTGCAGTCAAGTTAATACAGTTATTTCCAATATTAAACACAATTCAAGAGAATGAATGCATTAATTAGGAATAAACAAATACATGAGAGAGAATTCATTTACGTGCACAGAAACCTTACTTGTTGACAGAAACACTAATGTTATCGAAATCGAATATTATCATAAAGTTTCGGTAAGCTTTGTGCTGTTTATTTTTACCCGCTTCGTTCCATGGAGTTCCATTTGGTGTCGGTGGCCGAGGACATCTACTTATTCATCAGCCGTTTTTATTTTTTAATGGGCCCTGGGCCTGTCTTTGGGTGCCCTTTATGAGTAATTTTTATAAATAAAAAAAAGTTTAATTTTGATTAATTTTTTAAAAATTATTTTATTTTAATGATGAAAACCAAATACATTATTGTGAAAGCTTTAATACATTATTCGTATAGAAAGTTTAACGTAACAATACTTTTCGTACTTTTTAAGAGGCAAAGTCTTCTGTCACATCATTAAAATCAATTTCCTGTAAGACATCATATTTAATGCTCATGATTGACAAATGATTCAATCTTTCTTAAATCAATAAATAAGAAAGAACACTAGGAGACAATAGTCCAATGCTTTGAAACTTTTTGTTTTTCAAGCACTGTTCGTTGAAGCACTTTTTTCACATCGGAAATCAAAATTTAAAAACTAATTGTACTACTGAACTTCAAATTATGTTTTTCAGTTAAAAGAGAGATAATTTTAAAAATTTGGTTAGAATATTATAAAAAAATATTCTCCCTAAAATAACATAAAAATATCCTGAACTAAAATAGAAGAAATGAGATCATTGCTTCACCAATTTGCGGTAAAGTTTAAATTCCTTCAAATTTCTGTTTCTTATTTTTAAACTACTGATATTCCTTTAATTTACAGTCAAAAACTTCTTTTAATAATCTCCTAAAAGCATAGAAATGTTAGCTAAACAAACTATTAAAATATTAAAAGCTATTTTTGAATCAATTATAATTTGAATCAAGGTTGAAGATTAA